GGAGTCACACGGTGTCATGGGGGTAGGGAGGCAATGAAGGCTATACCAGCCAGTGCAACCCGTGCACAGTGAGGAGCCTGACACTGGAACTATAGTACAACATGTGAGCAACAAGGACAAGTCATAAACGAGTCAATGGAACAAGAAATGAACAAGTCATCCATCAGAGAGGGCAGTGGAATACCAGATCACAGTGGCAATGTGGTCTTGACAGGTATTGGAAATACCTTGACAGTGGGAGATCCAAACGTTCCCTGGAGCATCTGAGCCCCTAGGATGCTGACAGTTACGAGGGACGTGACAAGGGATATGACACACATGACCATAAAGAGTCGAAAAAGGAAAGACCCCTGATGGAAGCATAACAGCTGTGGCAGAAGAAGAGGAAGGCCCTCTTCACTTATTTGTAGCTTGTGCATGCCCAGAAACTAGTGCATCAGAGTGGGCCATAGACTCTGGGTCTCCACACACATGTGCTGCCAGTGGTCATGGTTTATGACATTCAGAAAACTGGTCCCCTCTCAACCAGTGATCATCAGCAATGGCAGATCAATCCAAGCCATAGGCAAGGGGAGAATTGAACTCTCCATGCACCTTGAGGATGGACACACAAGCAAAACCATCCTATGAGACATATATTATGTTCCTGATCTCAACACAAATCTTGTGTCAGTCCCCTCTTTGGCCTCAAAAGGATTAAAAGTTACCTTTGGAGAATGGACATGCCAGGTTCATGCAGAAGGCCAGGTTGTAGCTCTTGCCACCAAATGCAGATCCCTCTACATACTTGAAGCTAGTGTCATATCAGGGAGCCATGCTGCCTATATCATCAATACCCCAGATGCACTTGATGCAAACGAACCATACATGGCTCTCACCTATTGGATGACAATGTCCAAAGCTACTCTAATTATGTGGCACCACTGTCTTGGACAGGTCAATGTCAAACATGTCCTAAATGTGTTGGACAAGGACATGGTGTCCAGAATGGATATCATAGGGACCAGGGAGATCAGCACATGCACATGCAAGGCCTGCCTCAAAGGCAAACAACACTGGGACCCTATTTCATCAAAGTCAGTTGTGGAAAATCCACACTGTGAGGAATCCACATTCCTTGGACATGTAAGCCCCTATCATCTACTGTTCCATGACTATCATTATGTTCCCAGACCTCTTGCATCCACCATTGTTCATGTGCTACCTTCCCACACCCACACTCCCTCTCATGCAATGCCATACCCATGGCCACTGAGCTCTGGTTGCTTCCCTTCCTTCAGACTCTTTCCTTTAACATGGTCTCTCTTCCCTTTTTGTTAGTAGTATACCCTCAGTCTCTGTACTGGCCTGTCTTGTGTGTATGTGCTGTTGTGTAGCTTCCCCTTACTTGTACCCTGTCTTACTTAGGTTCCAGGTTTGCCCAGACTATAAGGTCCTGTACTTAGGTTCAGAACAATACCTTTTGGCACTCAGAAGGTCACTACAATTTTCTTTTTCACTTTGTCTACACTGCACATCTCACAACAACCACACATGAACTATGCATACCACTCACAACACTTGCACTGCCAGTACTGCACTGCAGACCACACTGCACACATCACAAATCATTACTGCTACAAAGTGCTGAGTCCTACCTTCTAGTTTCAACATTCCAGAATCCCTTGGGACAAGCAATTCATTCCCTTCATTTTATTGTTGTTACCTAAGCCATCTAGCTCATATTATACAGCTACTTGGACTTTTCCTACAACTGGAGCCCACTGCAAGGGATTCTGCTGTCACTTCCAGAAGGTCACTCAGGCACACTGCTGAATGCACCAAACTAGAAATTTTATGCCTCCACTTTTGCAACCTGAACCTGTCAGAGGGCTCTGACTTATTCTGCCCAGTTTCACCTGAAGCACAGTATCACATGCAATCACCTGCTGACATTCCATGGGTACTACCTGCAGTCACTCCTGATATTTTGGCAGATTGGATATCTGTTGCATCAGACCACCTAGATCTCACTGCCCCTGATTTTCCTGGTGGCTTTATCCACTTGACTCCCTGAAGACCCAAAACCCTGCCATCACCTTAAACACCTGTCACATCATCTGATTCATCATCACAGATGCCCTCTTTTTCCTGTCTCTTTGATGCCTCCAAATCTATACCCAGACTCCCAGTTCCATCCACCACACTGCTGCAACCACTTGCTTGGTTGCAGACCAGCCATCAGCCAATTAGTAACCCACTGACACTTCTGCCAGTCTGCTTGCACACAATACCACCTGCTCTGCACCTGCAGCAAATACCCATTCCTCTCATCACCAATCCAGCACTGCCACCATGGGTTAACCTGCCAATGGCTAATCTTTGGTTTCAGATGATGCTCCGTGGTACATGGAATTCACCTAAATTTAGCAGAGATTCACCTGTGCAGCTTCTGCAATACCTCAAAGACATCAACTTCCTTAGTACTCTTGCTGCTCTTGATGACCATGGCAAGATCAGAGCTGCAATCCACTATGCTGACCCCAAAGAGGCCAAGGTCTGGCAAACACTTCCAGAAGCTGCACCTGCAGCTGATGACTGGGATGCTTTCATAGTTGCTGTTAAGGGCTTGTACCCTGGCTGTGAAGGTGATGACTGCTACTGCCATGCAGACTTGCAGTACCTCATTGAAGAATACCAGTCCAAGCCTATGCGATACCAGGATGACCTTGGAGAATACCAGTGGAAATGCACTAAGATTTCTGCCCTGTTCATTAAAACTAAAAAGCTTGCAGAGACAGAACAGGATTCCATGTTCCTGAATGGCTTCCTGAGGGCCATCACAGATTGAATTTGTCATCAACTCTCCATAGTCTGCACTGACCTCCATCCAGATGACCCATACCCACTTGCAGCATTGCCTTGCCTGTCAAAGAATTATTTGCAGTAGCCCCTGAGTTTTGCAAACAGTTCAGGGACATTACCATGGTGAAATGCATCACCACCAATGAGATTGAGGTAGTGCATAGCAATGATGGTGAGGGAGTGCATGTAAATGAACTAACCAGCCATGACCCTCTCTGAATCGCACATGAATATGGAAATCACATCATCCATGGTGATGATGGTTCCATCATGGCTCACCACACTCTACTGCTCCACTGTATCAAAGCCAAGGTCCCTGGGACTGATGTCACAATCAGCTGTGTACTAGATTCCAGTTTGGAAATTGTTGCCATGCCTAGGTGCATCTGGGAAAAGATTGGGTTGCCATTGCACAGCAACCATCTCATGACTATGACCTCTGCTAACATGTCTAAAGACACTACTGTAGGTATTCTAGAAAACCTGAAACTTGACTTTGGAGCTGGGCCAGTCATGCTCCAGGTTCAGGTAATTGAACATGCCAACTTCAACATGCTTCTTGGTTGTCTGTTCATTTGCCTCATGAGCACAGTAACAAACAACTATCCTGATGGTGGGCAGTGGATCACTCTCTGAGACCCAAACAATGGCCACAAGTACACTCTGCCCACATGCCCATGGTGCAAGGGCTGCCTGCACTGTAAGTGCAGCAAACACTGCCATAGTCATCAGAGTATTGTTGAATGGGGTTTTTGAGTATCAATGATCCACCAAATGGTCAGGGAGAGCCTACTGAGATGTCCTGTTTCCTATTCAGCCACTGTTATCTGTTCCTCAGTCCCACAGTTTCTTCCCTAGCCTTCACCTCAATGAACTTTCCCTTCACCCACAGCATCCATACCATGGAACATACCCACTGGAATACCCTTGCCTGCTTTTACTTTCCTCTCCTCCACTCAGACAATACTAAACCCCTCTGCTATAGCTGCTTTCAACAGTGTTTACCAACTGGACCCCATGGTTTGCACTCTTGTTTACAAACCAGTAAGAAGGTTTGGATGGTACCTGCCCCAATGGCAGAGGAATACTGCATCATCTGCAGCCTGCCTGACAATCCACTTGCTGGTCTCCAACCACTTCCTACACACCTGACAGACTTTACTCCAGGCATCTGCTTCACTGCTGAATGGGCCACTGTAGGAGAAGTCCAAGTAGCTGTATAATATGAGCTAGATGGCTTAGGTAACAACAATAAAATGAAGGGAATGAATTGCTCATCCCAAGGGATTCTGGACTGTTGAAACTAGAAGGTGGGACTCAGCACTTTTTAGTAGTAATGATTTGTGACATGTGCAGTGTGGTCCACAGTGTAGTACTGGCAGTGCAAGTGTTGCAAGCAGTATGCATAGTTCATGTGCAGTTGTTGCAAGAGGTGCAGTGTAGACAAAGTGAAAAAGAAACTCATAGTGACCTTCTGAGTGCCAAAAGGTATCATTCTGTACCTAAGTACAGGGCTTTATAGTCCAGGCAAACCCAGAACCTAAGTAAGACAGAGTAGCAGTAAGGGAAAGCCATGTGACAGTGTGTATACACAAGACAGGCTGTAACAGAGGCCAAGGGTATGCTACTAATGCAAAGGGAACAGAGACTGTGTTAAAAAAAAGAGTCTGAAGGAAGGGAAGTGACTGGAGCACAGTGGCCATGGGTATAGCATTGTGCAAGAGGGAATGAGGGCATGGGAAGGTAGCATGTGAACAATGGTGGATGTGAGAGGTCCAGCAACATAACAATATTGCAGAATGGTTGATGATAGGGGCTTATGCATCCAAGGAATGCAGATTCCTTACACCTGCAGGGGACTTCAATGCTGACCATCCCTGGTCAGCCACATGGTGTGGAGGACATAAATAACCTTGCTGCATGGTGATGTGGAAGGTGTGGTGCTGAGGATTTGAGAACACTGGTGAATTCCATGTAGAAGCAAAGGAAGTGTGGTGCCAAGGAATGTGAGAAGACTGCTGAATGCCACATACAGGCATCTGGACTGATGACATAAGTGCCTCATGGCTGCTAAGTATATAATTGTTAGTGCACAGCTCAAACCTTCACATTGATTTGATTCTTCCTCCCCCATCCATCCATCCTTTGCCCATAATATGTCCACTAACCATCTCCCAGGACTCTCCCAGCTTGTGTGGGCAGCTATGCCCCACCCAGTAGAAGCAGAAAAGGCTGCACTGAGGGAGCAGTTCATCACTGCCTCCATGGCTCTGGTTGCTGAGGCTAAGTGCCTCCTGGACAACAAGGAGGAGATGTGGGAGGAAAAGGTCAATTGGATGTGCCAGTGGGAGCAGAGAATGGTAAGCATGTGCATCCTCATGTCTATGGGTTGCATTGCTGATGATGACCAGGGGGAGGTCTATCCCCTCATCAAACATGGTCAAACACTGGGGGTCAACACAAAGATAGACAGTATGGATGGGCCAATCCTGGCAGAGGCTGATGAGGCATATGAGAAGTGGTCCACAGAGGAGACTGCAGTGGCAGTGTGTGGGGGCAGTGACAAGGATGTGCAAATGGGAGAGGAGGTCATGCAGGAGGCAGGAGAGTAGGGTGTGATAGTTGCAGTGCCAGCAGTGACAGAGAAGATGTTGCATGTCAAGGTGGTTTCCCAGCCAGTTCAGAAGGTAAGCGCATGGTTTGGACAGTGTTGTAGCTGCTGACACCTGAGTCCCAAGCAATTGTGGCAGACCATTGTGGAGAGCAAGGACAAGGCCACACCAAAGGTCATGATCCCACCCAGGTCAATTCTGCACAAGGTACCCTGTGTGCAGTGCTCAGTGAAGAGGGCCACATGTACTGGTCCAGTGGGTTGCATGTGTATGAAGCAGGGGTGCAAGAAGTTGACAAAGGCTGTGGGAAAGAGGGTGCAGACTGGCACATCAGTTGGTAAGTGACAACTTTGTCTCAGGAGACCCAAAGCTAATGGCCAGCAGTGCAGGCCTTGAAAATTGCCAAGGCAAGCTTGTCCAAGAGGATCATAGACAATGAGGTCGAGGTGGTCAAAAAGTCACATGTGTGTGAAGGGGAAGGTGCCAGTGTGCAGCTGGCTCAACACCAAGGTCACAGCTGACCTGTCACAGTTGCTGAGGCTGTTGCACACACAGGCCACAGAGTTGCATGTGGCTTACCTCCACCTTTAGGTGCATGTTGACCAGCTCACCAAGGCACTGGAGAAGATTGGGGTGGAGTAGAGACATCTGTAGTTGGTTTAGACTCATTGCATTGTCCCATCAGCATGTCAGCACACATTGCACTGAGTACACCACTTCTTTCCCTTTCCCTTCTGAGTGAGGTTGTGAATGGCATGAAGTGCTTGAACACTCTCTGTGGGACAGTGCAGCCACAGTAAGATACAGTGCATGGGGTACCACCCAACTTGTCTTCTTCATGTGACTTTTGACTTCTCTCAGTGCTAAGTCCTTGTGGTATGGTTTTGATGGTAGGGTGTGATGATTTCTTGAAGAGTGAATGAAGGGACTGTGTATTGGGTAACTGGGATGGTTGTTGTGTATTAATTGTAAGGTGTCAAGTCCAGGCCTACTCTGACCAACTCCAATGCTGGATGAGGTCTGGGGAGAGGTTCAGAAGCAAGTCCAACAGAAGGAACTGAACTCCAACTAGTGAAGTGTTGGCAGGAATGAAGTCTGCTGAGATAAGGGCAGAGTGAAGTAAGGGTGTTGGGTTTAGCTTGTGTGCTACCCCCTTGCATGATCTCAGCCCTCATATTTCAGAGGTAACTCCAACAGGCAGAAGATGGAGACAGAGGGAGTAGGAACTAAGTCAATATTTGTACTGAAGAACAGCAGAGTACGGTACATGCTTTCATACTACTATGGAGGTACAGTAACCAGAATTGGAACTGACATATGGAGACTTGTAAAATTTCAAGTAAAATTTCCTAGACAACAAATGAAGGGTAGATGGAGGACATATGAATTGGTAACACAGAATATCCAAAAGAGGAAATAATCCAGGTGCTGGACCATGCAGTGTGCACACTGCAGAGTCCCTGACCATGTGCTGTCAGGGAGAAGTCTGAAGGGTAGTCACACAACTCCTCAGAGAACAGCCCATGCAGTCCAGTAGGAGAGCAGTACAAGTCTGACAGCAGTCAGAGCAGAGATGACTCATAAACATCAGGGGGTGGGCAGAGTTGGTGCAGAGTGAGTGAATGATTGGTGGAATGGGGTGCAGAGTGAATGAGGACCTAGGATGAATGCACAGTCATGACATAAGGAGACAGAAGGAGAATTGAATGGAAAATAGATCAAGGGGCACATGCTGACTGCATGTTCAAAGAAGAAATGCACAGGGTAGTTGTGGGCATTTGTGGTATATAGCAGCTGAGGATGGCATCAGCAAGACTAGTAAGAGAAGGCATAGGAGAGATGTTGTTTTAGTGATATACTTATTTGGTATTTCATTATTTTTCTGGATGGTTTTGGACTTTTTGTCAGCAGTTTTTATGTTTTTTGAGTGAGGACTAGCTATCAGTAGGATCACCAGATGACACCTGGGGTAAAATGGATAGAGGGGAATGAACTATGTTTGATATCAGGTGGAGTGAGTGGTATGTGGGTCACCTCTGCAGGGGACTTTGAATGCTGACTGTCCCCAGTCAGCACAGGAGAAGGAATGAGGGTAGTGGAAGAAGCTGCAGAGAGAGGTGGGCAACACCACAGAAGGACATATGGGTATTGTGGGAGAAGAGGGTATGGAGGGAGGGCATGATGGACAGGCTATGGGTACTGGAAAGGGTGGATAGTCAGCTGTCTAAGGCAAAAGCCTCTACCTTGTCATCAGTGGGGTCATTCTCAGTCACCTCAAGAAGGTGGTCTAGTTCTTCATTGTCTAACCCAGTAATGTGAGTGACAGTTGCACAGGTTTGAGACCATGGGTGATATGGAAGGAGGTGGAACTAGGCAAAGTGGAGCTTGGAGATGGAGCCATCCAACTCAGCCAGCAGGTATGAGCCCCCAGTGGTCTGATGAAGGACAACCATGGGACCTGTGTACCATGGCTTTGTTTTCTGGTTCAGTTCCTTCTCCATGTGGGAGTTGCAAATGAGCATGAGGTGCTGGGAGCAAAGTTATAGTCTTTGATGCAATGCTGAAAGGCAGCTTCAAACTGCTGGACAGACTGGAAGTGTGTGTGGAGGATGTTATTGCAGACATGGTCTAGGTCATCCTGACACTTCTGTAACTGGTGCACAAGCCAGGCAATCAGGTCTGTGGTAGTCAGCAGAGTTGCATCATCATGGGATAGGGGTAAAAGGAAAGTAGCCTCAGCAAGGTTGAATGGGAACAGTGGTTTGACACTGTGTACCATGAAGTAGGGGGATAGACCCATAGACCTCAAGATGGTGACCCACTCAGCCCAGAACATGGAGTGCATGACAGTGTGCCAGCAGCAGTCATTGTTCTCACAGCTCTTCATGATAGCCTTGCAAACACCATAGTGGTGATGCTCTACAATGCCATTAGCCTGAGAGTTGTAAGGAGAGATATGAATGTGACAGATATGATATTGCACAGCTACATCTGCAAAATGGTTGAATTACAGCATACACTTTGGACAGTTTTTGAATTGTTCAAGAGCTCAGCAAGTACTGTTACTCAACTTGGCAAATGCTAAGTGCTTGTTGAGCACTAAGCATTTTGTAGATGTAGGGCATCCAAGGCCTGGATGAACATGGGACCATTGTCTGTGACAATTTTGGCAAGCAGACCTCAGCAGCATAGAATGTCCTTGAAGATGAAGGATGTGAGTGTGGTACTATTCTCCATGTGCAACATGTGCCATTTGGGATATGAGGTGAGTGCACATTGAGCCTGTACTATGTAGTGTTAGCCACTGGCTTTGGGCATTAGCATTGTGTCAATGTGAGCTTTATGGAACAGGCCCCCTATCATGGGCACAGTGGGAGGGATATGAAGCTTCTGCATCTGTCGGATCTGACATTTGTGACAAGTGTGAACATACCACTTCACATCCTCAACAAGCAGAGGCCACCAAAAGTGGAGGAGAAGGTGGGTGTGGACCATGAAGACTCCTTTGTGTCTGAGGTTGTCATGCACTTCTTTGATGAGACAGTACCACTTGGACTTGTTGATGAGTGGCTGGTGCTGTCCATGTGGTTCCCAATGCCACAAGTTGCCATCTAGCACATGAGCTAAGACCAAGGGTTGTTGCACCTGGCACTTGGCCTTTGGCCTTCGACCCCTGACCTAGTCACAAACTTAACAGTATATTCAGACTACCACTTGTGCAAGCCACTCACCACCCATGACCAGAACCCACACCCAAGCTCAAGCAGACTGTGCTTTAGAATCTGCCTCTGCCTTGAGACCAACTCAACCCAAAACCTCAGATGACCCTCACTGCCAGTCAGCCCTTAGTTCCCTTCGCCAGTCACCACCAGACTTCTGCAATCATGCAGCAGTTCCAAGGATTCTCAGCCTGTTGTTCTGGTACTACACTGGCTTCTAATGATTCGAGGTACACCAACACCAGCTGGTCATTGGCCTCCTGCTCCTTCAGCAACCCCAGAGGTGATGGTGACAACAACCCAGATGACTCTGACCATCACTCCAGTGATGACAATGATGACAATGATGATGATCTGTTTGGGCCCAATCCTGAGGAAGGTGAACATGAGGAAACTGAAGAAAACTTGCAAATGAGGGTCTTAGGCAGTCTCACTAGGGCTGTACAGTCCCTCACCCAGTCTTCCTACCAAGACACCTGAAGGAAGCTCAGGATTCAGCCAAGGTCCAAGAGCCAGACACCTTCAACAGCACTGACCCAAAGAAGCTCTGGCAGTTCCTCATCCAGTGTGAACTGACCTTCCAGAACAAACCCCAAACCTTCCATGATGACTGCTGAAAGGTAACCTTTGCCCAATCCTACCTCAAGGGAATGGCACTCGAATGGTTCAAGTCAGACCTTCTCCTCACTGGTGAACCAGAGGACCCACTGCTGTGGATGGACAGCTGGTGCAAGTTTGTCATTGAACTCCAGTTGACCTTCAGCCCCCATGACCTGGTAGCAGAAGCTGAGAACCAGCTCAACCACCTAACCATGAAAGAAACCCACTGCATCAACAAATACATAGTCAAGTTCAACAGGCTAGCTACCTAGGTCTGGGGTTATGGTGATGGGGCTCTCCACCACTTCTTCTATGCTGGTCTTCCCAACTGAATCAAGACAAGATAAGCCAGGTAGGCAAACCCTGCACCCTTGAAGACCTTCACCATCTAGCTCAGGACATAGATGCCCACTACTGGGAAAGATGTGAGGAGGTCCAACACCAGAACCTGGTCTGCTGGTAACCAGAACTCATCAAAGACTGGCAATAAAGACTTGAACACCAACAAAGGGAAGACCTCAGCATCCAACACCTCCCAGCCCTCCACTGTGCCAAAGACTGGCAGTACCAATGCTGGGCCTTCAAAGCCTGAGCTAGCCAGCAACAAACTCAGCAAGGATGGAAAGTTAACAGCTGCTGAGCAAAAGCAATGCTTCGACCTAAAGCTCTGTATGTTCTGCAGAGGGGAAGGTCACATAGCCAAGGAATGCCCCAAGAAGGTGGCCAAGGCTAGAGCAGCCACAGTAGCTCCAGAAGCCACACTGGAGGCCTCCACCAAGGCAAAAACATAGTTGGCAGTCCTCAGAACCTTGCACACCCTAAGGACCATGTTGACTCTGGTGGTGTGCTCTTGGAGGTTAAGCTCAACATGTCTGCTCTTTGCAACCTGAATAGTCTTATGCCTACCATTTCTTTAGCATCCTACAATGAACCTGGCATTCCCAGTACTCATCAACTCTGGCTCTACACACTGTTTCATAGATACAAAGTTTGCAAATAAAATCTCTGTCCCCCTTTACTCCATCCCACTGGTCCAGCTTTGGCTGTTTGACAGCACATCCAACTCGGTCATCACCCAGGCAGCAGATCTCATCTTCATTTTTCCCTCCAGCAATGCAACCCCAGTCACCCTCTATGCAACCCTGCTGGACTCTGAGTGCAAGGCAGTCTTAGGATACAACTGGCTCACCCAACACAATCCATCAATTGACTGGGTCTTGAGCAGTATTAGATTCCAGATGCCTGTACAATGAGTGCCAGACCCCCTGACATCACCCCCTAGCCCTGAGCCTTTGGCTCCTAGACCAACCACCTTTGGCTCCAATGAGCATCTGACCCTGAAATTAGAGAAACCAGTTGCACTGGGCTTGACTTTCCCACACATTGCCTTCATCAATGCTGCAGCCTATGTCTGGGCATGTAAACTTGAAGGGTCTTCTCAGTTCAGCCTCCAGCTCCATCCCTTGGCTCTCACCTCCCTTCAGTCTTCAAAAGTAGAAGATGCACCAAACCTCTCTGGTGTTCCACTGGAGTACCATGAGTATGCTGACATGTTCAGTAAATCCAAAGCCACTACCCTAGCTCCCCACCAAGATCATGATCTTAAGATTGAGCTGGAAGGAGGCTCATCACCACCCCTTGGCCCTATCTACTCCCTGTCACTGGTAGAGCTTGAATCTCTCCAGGCCTTCCTAGATGAGCATCTGGCTACCAGGTTCATCTGACCAACCTCTTCCCCCCACAGAGTGCTGGTCCTCTTTGTCAAAAAGAAGGACAGCTCCCTTCAGCTTTGTGTTGATTTCTGGGGCTTGAACAAAATCACCAAAAAGGACCAATACCCTCTTCCCCTCATCACCAACCCCCTTGACTTGCCATCCTGAGCTAAGGTCTACACCAAAATTGACTTCAGGCATGCATACCACCTAGTCCAGATTGCCAATGGTGATGAATGGAAAACTGTGTTCTGCACTCAGTATGGGTCCTTTGAATGGCTTGTCATGCCTTTTGGTCTGTCCAACACCCCAGCAGCATTCCAACACTTTGTCAACAGTGTTCACTGATCTCCTAGACATGTGTGTCATGGTCTACCTGGATGACATACTCATCTACTCCAATGATGAGAACTTCGCACCAGCAAGCATGTTAAAGAGGTTCTGCACTGACTCCAGAAACATGGCCTGTATGCCAAACCAGAAAAATGTGAGTTCCATTCTGAGTCAGTAGAGTACCTAGGCTACTGCCTTTTGCCAATCAGGCCTCACTATGTCTGGCAAAAAATTCAAAGCCATCTGTGACTGGCCTGAACCCCAGAAGGTCAAAGACATTCAGTCCTTCCTGGGCTTCACCAACTTCTACTGATGTTTCATCTACAACTACTTGGACATCATCATCCTCCTGACCCACCTCACACAAAAAAACATACCCTGGAACTTCTCTGAGGAGTGCCAATCAGCCTTCAATAAGCTCAAAGAAGCTTTCACCACCACTCCTATCCTTACTCACTTCATTCCCAGCACCTCAACTCACAGTGGAAACTGATGCCTTGGACTATGCCATTGCTGGCATACTGTCCATTACTGGTGAAGACAACCAACATCACCTGGTCACCTTTTACTCCAAGACACTGTCTGCACCAGAACTCAACTATGACACCCACAACAAGGAGTTACTTGCTATCTTTGAGGCCTTCCAGGCCTGGAGACACTACTTGGAGGGTGCCCCTCTACCTGTTGATATGGTCACCAACCACAAGAACCTAGAATACTTCTCAACCTCTAAGGTGCTCACACACCAGCAAGCCTGGTGGTCTGAGTACCTGTCACAGTTCAACCTCATCATCTGTTTCCACCTGGGTAAGCTCAGTGCTAAGCCCAACACTCTCACTAGACAATGGGATGTCTACCCCAAAGAGGGGGATAGGGGCTATGCCCAGGCAAACCCCCACAACCTCCAACCAGTGTTCATGCAAGAACAGCTGGTCTTGGCTCTCCATGCCACATGCTTGGAGTACCCCATACTATGCACCAGCCTTCTAATGGACATAGAACAACTCCACAATGAAATACTCACTGCACTACCCTCAGACCCACTATCCCAACACCAACTCACAGACACCTCTGATCCCCAGTGGTCAGTCAATAGCACCAGTCTGCTGCGCCTTGATAACCAGATCTATGTACCAGATGCCAATGACCTTTGGCTCAAGGTCCTTCAGTACAAGCATGATCACCCACTGTCAGGACACTTCAGCCAGAATTGGACATTGGAACTGATCCAGCAAGAGTATACCTGGCCTGGTATTTGCACCTTTGTCAAAGAATATGTGAGGTCCTGCACTACATGTGCAAGAGCCAAAACACCCAGACACTGACCATACAGCACCCTGAAATAATTGCCAATACCAGAAAAGCCATGGAATTCCATCTCTATGGATTTCATTGAGCACCTACTGGCATCTGGTGGTCACACTGCTATCCTGGTGGTCATGGACTGACTATCCAAGCAGGCTATATTCATACCCACCTATGACACTATCACCTCTCCCAAGCTTGCTAAACTCTTCCTACTCCATGTCTTCTCAAAACACAGTATTCTGGCACATGTAACCTCCGAACCAAGGCTCTGAATTCATCTTGCACTTCTTCTGGTCCTTGGGTAAAGTGCTGGATATGCACCTACACTTCACCTCTGGATACCACCCAGAAGGAGATGGCCAGACTGAATGAGCAAACCAGACCTTGGAACAGTACCTCCAGGTATATTGTAACTACCAACAGGACAACTGGGCCAAGCTACTTCCATTGGCCAAGTTTGCCTACAACAATGCCCCAAGTGCCACCACTGGTGTTTCCCCTTTCTTCACCAACAAGGGTAACCACCCTAACCTCTCAGTCTTCCCTGAAAGGGACTTATCCTTGGCATGAGCTAGGGACTATGCCATGGACCTAGATGAGCTACACCAGTTCCTACAAGAAGAGATGGCACTAGCCCAAGCTAGATACCAAGGTCTGGCAGATGCAAAAAGACTACTGGCACCTGAGATCAACCTTGGCAACCAGGTCTATGTCAAAGCCAAGTACTTCCTGACCACAAGACCATCACAGAAACTCACAGACAAGAACCTAGGCCCCTACTTGGTAATAGCCCAGCCTGGTACCCACTCATTCACCCTTTGTCTCCCAGACTCCATGTGTGCAGTACACCTGGTGTTCCACATGTCACAACTAGAACTGGCACACCCCAATGTCATCCCAAACTGAACACAGCCACCACCACCACTGGTTGAGGTGGATGGTGAACCAGAGTACAAGATCACCAAGATCCTCAACTCAAAGGTAGACTGGCAATGAAAGTGCAGGCTACAGTACTTGGTGCACTGGGCCAGCTATGAGGGCACCAGCAAGGAAACATCCTGGCTACTGGCTACTGAGCTGGGCAATGCCAAGGATCTACTCACCACTTTCCGTGCCAGTTATCCCAGTAAACCCAGACCAGTCACTAGCTAAACATACCTTTCTCCTCTTTCTCTCTTGTTTCCTTACTCTTGCTTTTCCTTACTATACCAAGAACTGTTAGATGCACTGAATACTATGTACATACATTGGCATTCTACTCGGAGTCCCCCTCAAACACCTCCCCCTTGCTTGTCCAGAGCTCCCTCTCCTCCCCACTCTCTGAACTGGACCACCAACATTTTATATGCATGTCCTTGGGCTGGCACATGATTCCCTCATCCAGCTCCATCCCCACTCCCTCATGATCTGACTGGAGACTCTCGAGCTCCAGGTCTGCCACATCCAAGTGCAGCTCCTTGCTGGTCTCAGATACCAGGGTGGTCAGGTGCAGAGTGAACTCAAACTCACCCAGCAGGTTTCCAGCTGGCTGTTGAAGCCAGTGCTGGGTCTCTCTTCCAGCCTGCATCTCTGTGGTTTGTTGGTCCATGGCCACCACAATCAGCTCAACCCCTTGATTACCACTGCCACCAAGGGGTCAGAGGGAGATGGCAGTGGCCATGACCACTCCCAAGGGACTGGCTTCTGACTCACCAGGGATCGCAGATCTGACTCAAGTGACCTTCTTCTTCTCCCTCGCCCTTGGCAACATAACATCCTCTGGCACTCTCTTCTTCCTGGCCTTTGCCCTGACCTCTTCAGTCTCAGGCTCCACTCCCTCAGGCAACTTGCACCTGACCTTCATTTTGGTGCACTGGTCACACATCCTCTTCTTGCACTTGCTCTGCTGCATGCAACCAAAGGTGCATGGCACCTGACCCTTCTTGCACTGTTGGCACAACTTGGTGTTCACAACACCAACAGTCTTCTCCCACTCCTTGCCTTTTGGCTCCCCTGTCCTCTGTTGTGCCTGGATCTCCTGTTCTCAGCACTTGGCTTCCAACCACTCCTGCTCTTTCCTCTTGGCCTCCAACTGCTCCTGCTCCCACTTTTTGGCCTCCAACCACTCCCTCTTGTGCTGCTCTGCCTCTAGTTGCTCCCTCTCAAGCCTTTCTGCCTCCAGCCAGGCAGCCTCTTCCCTCACAGCCTTGCACCACTTGCACTCAGCTCTCTCTGACTTCAACCTGGCTTGCACAAGGGGCTAGTGCACAAGCTAAGACCAAGGGTTGTTGCACCTGGCACTTGGCCTTTGGCCTTTGACCCCTGACCTAGTCACAAACTTAACAAATAGCAGGACAATCTTCCCACTGTGGATATCAACTAAATAGGCAGGTGAGTAAGAACAGTCACTCCTCATCTGTCCCATTGTCCTCCAGATCATTGTTCCCCACCTCATATGCACTGCCATTTGGATCATTGTCCTCCAGATCATCATCCCCCACCTCATATGCACTGCTATTCAGATCATTGTCCTCCAGATCACTGTCCCCTAACTCATACACACCACTATTTGAATCGTCATTGAGGCTGAAAAATTCAGTGCAATCTTCAACCTCAATGTTGGTCCTTGCTTGATGCCAAAGCATGCTAAAATGATCAGAGAGCTGGTGTTGCAGAGTGGCCTGTTGATCTGCATATGTGCAAATTCCTTCCCTTTCAAGGCTATCAACCACAACACCACTGGGGGGTTCCCTACACTGCTTCCACCACTGTGCCTTGTACTGGAGGAATTTTTCTGTGCACTGCATTTCTTCCAGAAAAAGTTCAACCTTTTCAGACCAGCATGCTGCTTGGGCATGGGCTTCTGCCCAATCTATGTGTAGTGCTTAAAACAATTTTGATTTAGTGGAATGATGTGCTGATGTAGATATTGATGTACCTTTGATCATCCCCTCATCACCACTTGCCACTGTCCCACATGCCCAGATCCAAGACATTGTTCTATATCCCTCACCCAAGCCATGTCTTAAAGCCTTGTGCTGCTTCTTGGACCTTTGGCAGCCATTGGAACCAATGATGGCATTTGGATCATCAATGTCACCCAATGTAGATGCAGTTGGTCCACACACATCCTTCATTTGCAGTGGCTGCAGCTCTTCCTCCCAGGAACCTGTACCATGGAGTGCAAGGAGCACTGCATGAGCTACCCAGTACTTCTGTATGACTCTGCCAATCTTTGAGGAGAGTGTGTTTATCAGTGTCTTTGCACAAGTATTTGCCCTTTGGCCACAGATGTTTGTGTTTCAATATTTGATGAAATGAGTCTGCATATGTAGGTAGTTTTGAAGCTTGCCAAGGGCATCATGACATTGCACCTATCGAAGTTGTGCCTTGATGACAGAAATGTCATCAGAGATAGACATCTGCTCAGTTGGAGACAACTCTGATGGCATGCACAAGCAGATGGCTTCAGCTTTGGCTTCAGGATCTTTGGACTGTTGAACAATACTCTCAATTCCAATCATGTAAACCACTTGAATTTCATGAAACTGTCAGATTTGACAAAGAGCACAGCACAACATCATTGTAAATTTGTGTCTTGAGTCACCATAAGCCATAGTTCAGCTAATACATCTGACTTCAGACTTCACCTAGCATTGAATCTAGGCTCATCTGTCTAGGCCTGAAGGAAAATCATGTACTGAGTTTCTTCAATTGCCAACCTGAAAGAAACAAAGCTGCTTGGGGACACTTTATGGCAGCTGAATTCCCCATGAGCAGCCACAGCCTTGTCATCAGTGGCCAGCTGGGAGCGAACCTCAGCCTCAGTTGGAACTACAATCACATCTGGTGACCCAATGTACATAACACAAGGAACAGGAATATGTACAACACTGAGTGGCAGCATATGGATTTGGTTTGGATTTATCAGCTTCCCATGCAGTGATCATAGTGGTCCATGTCTCCCTCTGTGAAGTGCCAATAGATGTGTTAAATTCCTCCAGGGTAGCACAATGATGAGATTGCTCAGCAATAGCAGCTTTGAGCCTGTCACAAAGTAAACATCCTTCAATGCTGTTAGTACAGTACACCATCCCACAAGATTCATGCTTACCAAGACCAACAAGCTTTCTGAAGTTGTAATGGCCGAAGTGGTTGTTGATGGTATCATGCCTTGCACCAGATGTCATTTCTTTTGTGCTATTTGTGACACAATTGATCTCCGACCAGTTATGCTTGACCCCTTTGCCATTGGTGCAGCCAACACCAGGCAGAAGATTGAGAGAATGGGGTATAGCACATGAGGCAGAATGGGCAGGGGCATGGAACTTCAGAATACCAAACACAAATGACAACATGACAACAGCAAGGGGGAGATGTAGATGTTCAGGGAGCTGGTCTATCCTTTGGGCAAGGTTGAGTTTCCATTGACAGGCAATGTTGTAGGAAATGACCATGGAAAGGAGCAGAAAGGGGAAAATAGCCAAAAAATATATATAGTCCATGTTACAGTAGCTGGGAATTTATGAATGGATGCGACTGGAAGGTGTGTAGATGTGTACTTACTGCTCGCCTTTTTGCAAATTGCCCACACCACAAGGGCATACAAATTCATGTCAGGTGCAAAGGCATAGTCCTACACCCATTGTATGAAGACCAGTTGCAAACTTGGTTTCAGCATGAGCCATAGACCTGAAACTGTTACACATGCTGATCTAAATCGAGAGTCAAGGGCAGGAAGTCAAAAATATATTACATGCAGACACACATCTTCTTGTGTAGCAAACTGAAGTACATGCTCATTGTAAGGGCCATCAGCAAGAAAGTAGGCAAGGCTGGTATGCAGGCCTGGATCCTGGTCAGATGCACATGCATGGTTCTTGAGCTGAAAGTTGGCATCTATTGCAATGATGAGCAAATAAAGAAACCTAAGGCCTTGATTAGAATATGTGTAGTGCCCAATATGTCCAACAAACTTTTTAGAGGGCTCCACATCTTTCCAATCATCAGGCAAGTTCATGCCCAGTTGTGGGCATGCAGGACACAACACAGCAAGCCCACCAGGTTTGGTGGTATGAATACCATCTTGCTCACTTTCCCTCCCTGCTCTTTTGAGGAGTTTTGTGTGGCAGAACTGACAAACCATGTGCAAAAAGGGATGATACCAACTCTGAGATGCACATCAGTGGGGACTAGACTAAGGGCCCATACCACATACCTTTGGCATATTAATACCTGTATTATTTGTAAGACACTCCAGCATGCAATAGTATTCATATGTTGAAACTTTACTTGACCATGTGAGTTGCAGAAAGTGATCCAAGACTGTTCTGGTGCAAGCTATCCTTGGATTACAGATGGTGGCAGGATACCAACCACATTACAGAAGCTGTTGGCAATGGGACATGGACTGCTCACAGCCACAGAAATTCACATTAATGGGGTGAATGCTGTTGACATCAACAATGATGAAATCTAAATGACCATGCTCCAGACAGTAGCAAAACATGTCTTCATGACCAAGCTGAACTATGAGGCCAAGCTGCTTTAAGGTGACATGATCAAAGAACTTTCCATTCCACTTCTGCAAATGATTTGTGAAGGGTGGGATGTATTATAAACTGGATGAGCTCACCTTGATTTTGTGTAACAGTAAATGTTGATGAGTTGCTAGACAACAAGTCTGACACAACAATGTGACCCCATGACAATCTTTGCAATGAAAGAGTCATTTGTTTGGCATTCCACTAGCCACCTTGCAACTACACCATTTGGCAGCATCACCATGGCTCTCAAGCTGGAGTTCTTTAAAGAGATACTCATGATAACCATATTCTTCATCATTGAACCCCACCCACTCCTTGAATGGGTCCTCCTGTCCCATAAAAGGTTGGTCAAGGTCTTATCAGTTCAAAAAAAAACTTACCATGATTTGAGTTCATTGCACAGATCTGCTGGGTGCAACACCATAGGCATCTCCATCCCAATAGTTGTCCTCATTCGCCCAATTGTCTGAGGCCTCCATAAAGCTGTCTGCAGGTCCATTCAGTGTAGTCCAAAGTTGGGTAGGTGGGTTGTGAGTAGTGATGAGGCAGCAGTAGTCATCAGAAAATCAAACTGTGCAAGAGAAAGCATGCCCACTTTCATCAAAGGTTTCGCAGTATATGTGGTATGTTTTCTTTTTTTTCCTAGGGATCGTCATGGCTCAGCCTCGAGTGCAGGAGATGAGAAAAATTTGTGTTCACCTTGCATAGCCATTGCCTGCAATCCCAATCCATGAACAATAATGACCCAAGAGAGAAGCCAGGAATTTTTTCAATCCTTCTTTCCATGAGTATTCACTTGGAAAGCAAGTCAACTGCCTGTTTGGTATTTTAAGATAAGTATGGTACCATTGTATAAGACCTTACCAAATGAAAACACCCCCATCTCCAGGCCATTGCCATGGTATGGCAAGCCAAACCATCACAGGGTTGCTGTGCTTTATGTGCATTGTGGTTGTGGGCTTATCAGATGGTAGTGCAGATCAGAGTCTGGGAGAAAGGAAGGGGGTGCTCTGCAAATAAGGTTCTGGTACTTGCTGCAAACATGCCAGTGTCATGGGATGAGATTCAATCGGCTGGTAGGTAGTCATCCAATTATGTAATCACCCTTGGTCTTCTCAAATGCGAAGGTTGGAAGCACAGTGTACATGGTTTTGTCTACTTGTCACATAGTTCTATCAGTACCAGTAAAAATATTGCATCTCTCTAGATATCATGCCTATTACATAGATCTGAGATCCTGAAAAAATTTTGCTTCATTGACAGCCATGCCTTGCTTTGCAAGCAACATGATGAACTGTTCACTTGTATGCACATTTCTGTAGACTTTGATGATGAGATTGACATCCTCAGCACCATACCCATGAGAAGTGAGATAGCAAGAGGTTAGAGTACTGAGTGGGCACACTAACATCTGCACAGGAATCATAGAAGTTGGATAGTAATTGTCATGACTGTGCATTCATCCTAGGTCCTCACTCACTCTGCACCCCATTCCACTGGTCATATGCTCACTCTGCACCAACTCCACCTGTCCCCTGATGTTTACAAGCTGTCTCCACTCCAACTGCTGTTTGACTTGTACTGCCCTCCTACCAGACTGCATGGGCCATCCTCTGAGGAGTCATGTGACTACCCTTCATTCATCATCTAGGAAGTTTTACTTGAAGATTTATGAGTCTCCATATGTCAGTTCTGATTCTGGTTACTGTACCTCCATAGTAGTATAAAGGCATGTATTGTTGTATATTCTGTCTTTCATATTATACTTTCATCTGCATCCCACTTAGTATTATGGTGCGCATTTGGCCATATTACATAATCATGTTCATTTTTGTACTCAAGTAGCATACTCACACCTCAGTTGGCTACTTAACCCAACTGAGGTGAGCACTTTCTACATCCTGTCTTTACACTCAGCTAATAGTCCTGTAGTATATATTCTACAGGTTATGAGCCCCATTGCTCACTAACTGGGAACCCATAGCAAAATGTCATTCACATCCAAGCTTGGAGATGATTTCCTTAAGGTTCCAAAGCTCTCAGCAGATGGAGAGAACTGGGTAACATACAAGGACAGGCTAATGTGGTCTTTGGATGCTTGTGGGCTGCTCAGGTACATAGATGGTACTGAGACAATGCCAGTTGACCCCAAGACACTACCAAACTGGAGTGAGAGCTGGATACCTGTCTCTGCAGAGGAGAAAAAGGAAGTGATGAACTACCAAGCTACTCTAAAAGAATGGAGGCTCAGCCAAGCCATCATCAAGCAACAAATCACTGGCACAATCCCTGACACACTGTTCATCCAAATAAAGTCTCACTACTGCACTTGACATCTGGACATACCTATCCAACCTCTTTGAGAAGTGCTCTCATGTTGTATTGGTCAAACTGCTGAAGAAGCTCCAAACTATAAAATGCACAGAGAAAGGAAATGTCAGGGAACACTTTGACAAAATGCAGCAAATACATAAACAACTTGCCTCAATGGGCCAAGCCCTGACAGACGAAAGCTATATGGTCATGGTCATGACATCCCTCCCAAGCTCTTATGATTCTGTCATCAGAGCAATGTCCACACTCACAAAAGTTTCCACCTCCACTACCCTAACAACTGCAACTCTCATGGATGCAGTACAAGATGAGTATGACTGTCATGCCACAGAGCAGAAAAAGTCTAGTGATGCAGATGATACAGCATACTTGGCTGGAGGAAAGCAGAATAAATTCACTGGAACTTGCTACAAATGTGGAAAATGTGGGCACCGAGCTCACAAATGCAGGTCAAGTGGGGATGACTCACAAAGTGGAGGGAAGTCTCTGAACAAAGGGAAACAAAAAGAGCATGCAGCAGTGGCCAAAGATGACAGCAGCAGTGACCCAGATGGGGTATGGCTTGCACATATCAACAACAGCTATGAAGCTGAGGTCAACAAAGCTCAACCATCCCCAGAGACATTCACTACTAGTGCATACATGAGACCACTGAACTACACTACTCTATATGACTCTGGAGCCTCTCATCACACATTGTCATACAGGGAAAACTTTGTCAACTATAAGCCCATTACTCCCAAACCCATTACTGCAGCAGACAAACAAACCTTCAAAGCCATTGGAAAAGGAGATGTGTACATATCCCTACCAAATGGCAACTTGCCCACTTGTATCCTCTTGAAGGATGTCCTCCATACACCTAAGATTGGCATGACCCTGGTATCCATTAGCTGCCTAGATGCAAGTGGATATGCCATACTCTTCTGTGACTTGCACTGCAAGATCTTTAATGGACAAAAGAAACTCCTTGGGGAAGTACCAGTCAGCAGTGGCCTCTATACAACCAAAGCCACACAGAAGGTTTATGTGGGCTTAGCAAACTCAAGAGTAACCCTTACCATGGAAGATATCCATGCATGGCTCAGCCATATATCACTGGACACTATTAAACAAATGCTAAAGGATGGCATTGTAACTGGAATAAGCCTAGACCCTTCCCATGCAACAATTGAATCTTGCGATGCATGTGAGTATGCCAAGGCAACCCAAAAACCCATAGGAAAAATCTGAGACCCCCCACACCAAGACAGGGTTGGTGACAAAATCCATATGGACTTATGGGGACCATCTCCTGTCCAAACAAATGCAAGGAGTCAGTATTTCATGTCATACACTGATGACCACACTCACTTTACAAGCCTGTATCTCCTGAAGTCAAAGGATGAAACCTTCGAGTCCTACCAGAAGTATGAAGCCTGGCTGCTGATGCAGTTCAACACAAAGGTTAAAGGGCTTCGCTTGGACCAGGGTGGGGAATTCCTAAGCAAAGAGTTTTCACATCATCTCAGGCTGAAAGGAACAGAGAGGAAGCTCACAGTGCACAATACACCACAGCATAATCGTGTCACTGAAAGGCTGAACTGCACACTTGTCAAATGTGTATGCACCATGCTAAATACAAGCAGCCTCCCAAAGTCACTATGGGGAGAAGCCATAATGCATGTGAACTGGTTAAAGAACCAAACCTCCACCTGCACACTTGACAAAAAGACACCCTACAAAATGCTGTATAAAAAGAAACCAGATCTATCTAATCTACCAATCTGGGGCTGCCGTGTCAAGGTCCACACAGCTGATGGTTTGAAACTAGACATGTGCATGAAAGATGGTCACTGGGTGGGCTTTGATAAGGACACAAACATGCACAGAATTTATTTTGAGGACTCACAACATGTGGGTGTCAAATGAAATGTCCAATTCAGCTCACAGGAGGTCACCATTCCTATCAGCATGTAGCTTGAGGGGGAGAAATGCATCACAGATGATGAGGGAGCATCATCCACCTCACACATAGCTGGTAAAAACAATCAGCATGCCATACAAACCACAGAAAGTGCACCTACAACACCAAGTACTCCCATTGACCACCTTTGACCAAGGTTTGAACCTGCAGCACCCACCCATTGCTCTGGTTGCACATGTGTTGAGTCAGCATATGTACAGCACCTGTGTGAGGGCAAGGGTACATATGACAGATGAATCCCACTACCTACACTACCATTGCCTCAAGGAATACAACCAGGCTTGTGACAAGAGGAGAATAGAGAGACAGCAAACCTGGGCATGATGGGGGTGATGGATGAAGACAATGAAGAAGTTTTTGCCTTGGTTGCTGGGACTGTGGAGCTAGAAGGGACAGATCCCATCATGATCAAAGATGCTCATGTGAGACCTGATTGGTCAAAGTGGGAGGAAGCAGTTAATAAAGAACTTACCTCATTGGAGAAAGCACAAACATGGAGCATCATTGAGAGACTGCACAGTGTCAACATGGTTGGCTGTAAATGGGTATTTCATATCAAATGAAACATGGAGGGAGAAATTGAAAAATACAAAGTGCAACTTGTAGCAAAAGGCTACTCGCAGGTCCACAGCATTGACTACTATGATACCTATGCACCTGTTGCACGCATGGCATCTATCTGCGCCATCCTTGCTATTGCAGCACAGAATGACTGGGATGTTGATGTTTTCGACTTGCCAGAGTGCTTTCCTAAATGGGAAGTTGGATGACAATGAAGTAATCTACATGCAACTGCCACCCAGACTCTCAGTTAACAGCAAATATAAAAATCCTGTTGCCTGACTGCATGTAGTGCTTTACAGATCAAAGCAAGGAGCATTGAAGTGGTACAAGCAGCTGTGCACTGCACTCACTATGCTCAATATGCATTGTGCTGAAGCCAACTGGGGTGTTTTCTTCATGTACACTGGCCAGGACATCCTACTCCTTGCATCACATGTTGATGACTGCACCATCACCAGCAATAACCCTAGCTTA